ACATACAAATGGTGCTGAATAGCGCAGTGGAAGACCTGTCTCTTATACACATCTAGATGTGTATAAGAGACAGGAGCAGGTATGCAACCCTGGTTGAGTGTAAAAAAAAAAAAAAAAAAAAGAAAAAGAACTGAGTAACTTCAGACTCGTCAGAGGAAAAGGTAAAAGAAAGGTTTCAACTTTCAACTTTCAACTTTCGAAAAAAGAAAAAAGAAAACAAAAGAAAATGACCCGGCGGAATGGGCGTGGAATCTCAGAGGAGGAAGGTTGAGAATTTCCAGACGAATCAGCATATTAAAGTACACTACACGAATAGGCTATCGACTGAGAAGGCGGCACCACCCGCTGCAGACCATACTCACGAAGCGATTGGAGAACAGAGTGGGAATATCCCCCGAGAAATTACCAGCAATCCCATGAACAACGATCAATAGGATAAGACTTGGCCGGGTCAGATGCTTGCAGTGGCTAATTGCCCACGCAGCTCTGCCGGTAAACGCCTGGCTAAACGAAAAAAGAAATCGAGCAAGAAGGGACCCCTCCAAAGCCTTGTGTTCAGTTTGCCAGCAGGGGTCAGTGGAAACAATGGAGCATGGCCTGCTGACATGTTCAAAGGCAGAGGGCCTATGGGAAATAGCCAGAACCCTCTGGAGGCAGATGACACAGAAGCCTTTCCCGCAAGAAAAGGAGACCCTGCTTCTGGGACACAACTGCCCCAGAGATTGGCCAGCCTTTGAGAAGCAGCTATTTCAGCTCATAAGACAGTACACAGTATGGACAATTTGGAAAAGGCGCTGTCAGATCACAATAGGGAAGAGGCCGATGCTCGAACAAGAAGCAAGGGAGGTCCTCCTAAACCTAATGTAAACGGAGGTTTGGGCACAGTGGAAAAGAACACAGCGGCAGATGAGACAACAACCGGACCAAGCACAGGCTCTGAAAGACAGATTCAACCACAGAACCCTAGGGAATGGCAAAGTTGCAACTATTCGAGCCACAGGCCTCGTTTTTTCGTGGAGACAGAGAGGATGAGAACACCGTAGCAAAGTGAATGAGGAGTGGCAACAGTAGGGTTTAGGGTTTATGGCATGGGCCAGGAAGAAAGAATGAGGTAAAGAGAAGTTGGACAGAGGAGGGTTTAGTGGGTATTCAAAGGGGTGAACGGGGAGTTAGATAGAGCTTTTCCTCTACTACTAATTGGTGTTGGTAATCCAGTTTTGGTTTATTCAGTGCTTCCATTTCACTTTATTGCTATTTGTTTTTGTTAATCCAGTTTCCTCCTTGTTCAGGAATAGCATGTAGCTTGGCAGGGGAAAGGGACACTGGACCCGGTTTCCAGTATGAGCTCAATCTGGGCAATGGCCCCAGTCTTCCGGGTTGAGATGTGGAGGGATTCCCGACCTCCTTTTGCTCTATATATAATGAAGCATGCTATTTGTAAAAAAAAAAAAAACAGAAAACAAAAAAAGTTAAAAAAAACAAAAAAATGGTCTCCTGAAGCTGTAAGGTGAGTGGCACCTGTTTTCACATCGGGAGCACACATTGTTGGTGCTGGGGCAAGCTCTGCGGGTGCTTGACTCATTTCTTACCTGCCGTCCACCTCCGCAGGGTGCACTGCAAGGGCCCCAAGCTGTAGTATTCCAGAACAAGACTCCGAGACCATCCTCTGAAGCTGAAACTTCCACGATAGTGATGTCATGCCAGTCTTCATGGGATTCTGGATTATCAAATGCTGGACCTTCCTCCCATTTAGTCTGAAGCATTGAGGCTCCGAAAACCGATTTGGTTGGGAACTGTGGAAGAGAAGCATCCACTGACGGGGCTGAAATATCACTCACAGAATCATACACATCTGCCTTGCTCATTGTTTGTATACTGTCTTCATGATGGGATTTCAGACACCGATTGATGGGAAGCCAAACACCATGCACAATAAAAACACCAGCCATTTTGAATATGCAGGAAGTAAGAGGTGTTGCTCTTAGAGGTCTTGGTAAATAACTATGCTATCATGTTAAAGCACACACACTCAATAGTAGGTGACATCTTTGGCTTCAGTAGAATAACAGGTGCTGCCTGATGATCCTTACCACCTCTTCAGACAACCTTGTCTGCTTCCCCTTGCTTGGGACTGCCCTTTCCTCCAGACCAACCTCACCTCCTTCCCCTTCCTTGCCATCACCCTGCCTTGCCCACCACTTCTGACAGGAAGAACAGGGATGGCACAGACCCAAGAATCACGGAGTGAGAGACACAACAAATACAGTTCAGCGGAAGTGTGAAAACAGCTGATACGACTCATAGCGAGTAGGACTCAGAAAATGCACTCGTCATCATCACATAAGACGGCCCAGGAGGGTGACCTACATAACAAAAGATACCTCCTTGCTCACGCAAAATCATGGGGAGAAAGTTCGAGAGACTATAAATGATGAGCGGAGGTGAGGAGGACAAAGATGAGAAGAAGAGGGAGGAAAATCGGATATGATAGCCGGAATGATAATGGTCTCTCCTCCAACTCACCTCCAAACAATATTGTCAAAGTCGGAGCCTGGGAGAAATCTTCCCGAGAAGGTCGTCAACTTTCCTCTCTCACTCTGTGTGTGTGTTGTGAATGTTCACCATAACATCCCCTGTTCCACCCAGATGAGTAGGTCCAAAATTGCAGCAACTTTACCTCTATTGTAGATGATCAAGCATCCTTGAGATGAATCAATCCACCAAGGAAACAGTGTTGCCTCCATAATAAAAGCATCATACGGAACAGACAACGAACTCAAGACAGACTCACATTTCTGGGTGGAAGACGTATCGACAGGGAAGTACACGTTCGATCAACCATATTAGGAGAATCCCTTGCATTAATCCGGGCCAATGGCATGGGATGAATCAGAAAAGAATGCCAAAATCAGCAGTGTGTGTTATGAATTTTCACCACGATATCCCCTGTTCCACCCAGATGAGTAGATCCAAAGTCACAGCAACTTTACGTCTATTGCAGACAATGAAGCATGCTTATGATGAGCCAATCCATCAATGAAAGAGTTTTGCCTGTAAAGTCAGCAGCATGAAGCACAATATCTATCCAAAATCACAGGAATTTTACGTTTATACAAGCAAGGAACCTCATCTTTATACAAGCAATGCAACACACTTCAGATGAGCCAACCCAACAATGAAATCAATATGAATTTATGAAACACAATAAATCCATTTTATAGCTTTCTTGATTATGTTTACATCAACTATCATTGGGAGGCCTCCCATTTTATTTATTTTTGCAGCTCCCCTCTTACTGTGTATCTTACGTACAAGGCTGGCCACGTTGATGATGGTTGAGCGCCAGCTTCCCACATCCCCGTGCGCCTTTACGACCCACTTGCATGTTATAAAAGGAGGCAGAGTAAAAGGGGTAACTTATGCTTAGTTTGCTGTCTTAATGAGCCTCATTCCTATGCGTTTACTAGTAGTACACGAAGAGAGTTAGTACAAGTGGGAGGGAGGAGAGAGAAAAGAAGTGTGTGTGTGTGTGTGTGTGTGTGTGTGTGTG